AAGGAGGATGGGAGGAGAAAACTCTGGGGAAGCTGGTTGGATCCCTGTGCTTTAGGAAGGCTGGGTGCTCAACTGATGGGTCCTGTGAACCCACACTCAAGGCAGAATGTAAAAATGGAATAATGGTGTCTCAGAGGCTATTTTTCAAATGGTGTGAGCAGCTTATACCATGACAACAAACAAAAAACAAAACCCCTCCCCCAACAAAAGTCTCTGCCCTCAAGCAGCTTACACTCCATTGTTTTTGTCACAAAGACATTGACACATTGAAAACACAAGGATCCCATATTTTATACTGCTCTGGTTCTTCTGCTCCTAAGACCCATCTTCTCCTCCCCTCCCAGGCCTAAGTTCAAGACCAAGGATGCCCATGCGCTTCAAATCTGCCACTTTCCTTGGGGTCCCATCAGCCCCATTTGAAGATTTCTTGAGTAAGTGCCCCATATGCCCTTGCCCCCTCCATGACAATGCCCAGTAATAGTTTCACAACCACAAAGCGCCTGCCTGCAATGATTAAGTTGCAGAAATTCTCTCTTTTCCTCTCAAGAATCAATCATCCATTTTTATTTCAACCCATTGCAGTGGGGGAATTAACCAACAAGGCCCCATCATTCGGGCAGGTACAATGTTTCCTCCCCAGTCTATCAGTGTGGGGGACTTGGTGACCTTATTTTTAGACATGCGAAATCTCCAGGGCCGCCTTAATCATGATGTCCTAATACCTTAAAAGCATTAAGTGTTATACCTCAATTCCTCAACTCCAGAGCCCTATGAGCCAACTTGAGGGGCAAACTGCCTTTTGGGCTAACAACTAAACCTTGTACATTCATACTGTGCTTTAGATATTTCTTCATCTGTAAACACAGAGCATTGGACTAGGTAAAGAGTTGGACTCAATGATCAAAAATTTCCCTGTCAAGGGCCTCCCTCCTCTACAGCCCCAGGATTCTCCTCTTCATCCTTCTTATCTCTAATGTGTACTTCTGGCTAGTTTTTCTCCTGCCTTTTATACATTCAGAGACATCAGCATTTCTGCTATCTTCCCAAGGTCACCAGTTCTTTGTCCCTCCTTTCCCCCACAAGCTCATTCTTTGGAGCCATCATTGTATGCTCATTTTCCTATAATTTTGGCCAAGTGCTTCTGCAAGTTCTCTGCTAGGATGTATTTCAGTACTCCAGGGTCTTCTCCCTGAAGCCTTTTCTCAAGTAGGGCTAGCATCTCCTGCCCTGAAATGATCTTGCCTTGAACCTTCATATCATTTCTGGTTTGCTTTAATTCTTCCATTTCCTGAACACAAATGTGTTTTTAATGTTCTCAAACTCTTCTTCAGCAAGTCCTGTTTGAGGAGCACGAACCTTGCTGCTTGTCCACAACTTTCCTGTTGTCCTCGGCCTTCCCTGTCTCCTCTGCTGTCTCCTTCGCTGTCTTTCAGAGGTTGCTTAGGCCTTGTCATCCAGTCTTCTCTGTACTAGTCTTCTCACGGTAGGTGAAGTCCTCCGCTCCTCTTCCCCAGGGGCAGATGCATGGGCTGATTTCCAAGAGTACTTTCTTCTACATGTCACAGGGCCCAGAGAAAGTCTCCATTGGGGGCTCCATATAACAAATGGCAGGCCCAGCAAAGTACAGCTGAGTGCATATATCACTGGCCTTGCAGTTAGGAAGGCAAGGGTTCAAATCTTGCCCCATGTGACTCTGGGCAAGCTACATAAGCCATTGGTGTTCTCAGCTGTAACAGAGAGATGACAGCCCCTACCTCATAGGACTTTCGTGAGAATCCAGTGACAAAGTCTAGCTCAGGCCTTTTGGGATAAGATGGGGCTGGGCCTGTGGTTTCACTGGCCTAGGGAATTCCTAACAAGAAAACTCCTTCTACCAACACTGATTGGCACCTTCTCTACACCTTAAGAGAGCTGCCTGGTGCACTGAGAGGCAGTGACTTGCCCAAGGCCATACAGCCAGGATGGGTCAGGAGCCAAACTGGACCCCAGGGCTTCTTAACTCCTACATCAGCTGGGTCTCTATCAACTACAACATGGTGCTTCTCCTGAAGAGCCTGAAACCTAGATAAATGTGAGCCACTCTTCTTCAATATTAATGTATTTTCTTTTTCTTCTGTAGGGTATATGTATAAATAAATATACACACAAATATGTATATGTGTATATGTGTGTATATATGTGTGTGTATGTATGTATGTGTGTATGAGTGTATGTATATTTAGACTTCCACCAACTTTTCTTCAGCTGGCTTTAGCTCTTGTATCCTTAAGCCATTCCCTATTTAATCTTTATTTGTTGTTAATTTATTAGTCCTGTAAGACTTCCTTAGAGTTGACTTTCTTTTCCTTCATCTAGAGATAATACTAGTCAAGAGAGAATAACTTGGCTAAGAGCAGGATTTGAGTTCTGACCACAAAAGTCTCATCCTCACTCTCTCTGACTTTTCCCTTGGTTCATTTCTCTTATTTAATGCCCTGCTTCCCTTTGTCAATTATTTCACTGGAACTTCATTCAGCAAGAGTCCTCAGCATCTCTCTTTTACCCTCCTCCTGTTCTTCCTAACTATGGAACCTCTTTGCCTTTGCCTTTCCCCCTTCACCTTCAGTATTTCCCTCTAACCTTCCCCATTTCTTCCTGGAGCTTTCCCCAATCTCGGCACTCCTCTGGGCCAATGTGAGCAGGTCAGGGGGCTGCAGGTGGTTGAGAGCTAGCCCCCTCTCCTTTTATTGTGACATGCTCTTAGGCTTTTGATAAGACAATGACTTTCTCCTCCCTGGAGGTTACAGGCAGTTTCCTCTGGCAAAAGGAAGTGCTGTGTCCTCCACCACTGAGATGCACTTCCTGCTTACAGATGATTATCCCAAGATGACTTCCTGAAGCACCTCTAGAGCTTAGCTGCTCCCTAAACTGGCCAGAAACTTTCTCTACCTTTCAATGAAAAGCAGCTGGTGCACAATCATCCCACCCTCCCCTCATCCTAGTTTCAGGTCACTTTTATGCCCCTTCTTCCAGTCCAAACCCCAGTCCAGGGGGCTGCTTGACTGGGACCATGAACACATCCCACCACCCAGCTCAACCCAGCCCTGGCTCCCTAATCACTGATAGGTGAATCACCATCGAGTTACACAGACTCTAAAATGAAGACAGTTCCTCTGCTGATCACAGTCGGAGATGTCCCCTCAGTTCCAGCATTTCAAGGTCTGCAAAGATGTCCCTTAAATTCATCTCAAGTGAATTGATGAGTGGGAGCTCCATCACGTAGACCCTTTCTAGAAAGCTGCCTTCAGAATTGATGAAACAAAACTTCACAAGGAGTCCTTCCCGGCGGGGTCCCCTGGCCATCCTCCCATCTCCACTCAGTCTACCCAGGGCCTCTTTCCCTCTGTCTTCTCCCGCAACCCTTATGAACAGCAAACACAAAGCCTCCGTATCAGTGTGCTTTCCTTTCCCTGCTGTTCCTCCCACTGCACAGTCCTGCCCTGAGTCCAATCTCTTCTTGTTCATCGCCAGCCCACTCTCCCCATCCCTCTTTGCTCCCCTGCTCACAGCTGAGAGCTGGTCCTCACCACACCCTTTCTGAAGACTGGAAGAACAAGTTCAGAGTCAGGGTCTTCCTGATCCCCAGAGGTCAGCTGTTACTACTGCTCTGCTCAGAGGTCTCTCTTTTTTTTTTTAAGGCAATTGGGGTTAAGTGACTTCCCCAGGGTCACACAGCTAGCAAGGGTCAAGTGTTTGGTCTGAGGCCAGATTTTAGTTGTTGTTGTTGTTGTGTGGTTTGTTTGTTTTTTTTCTTTTAGGCAATTGGGGTTAAGTGACTTGCCCAGGGTCACACAGCTAGTAAGTATCATGTATCTGAGACTGGATTTGAACTCAGGTCCTCCTGACTCCAAAGCCAGAGCTCTATCTACTGTACCACCTAGCTGCCCCATGAGGCCAGATTTGAATTCAGGTCCTCCTGACTTCGGGACTCGCGCTCTGTCCACTGTGCCACCAAGCTTCCCCTCAGAGGTCTCTTCCACACCTCAGTTCCCCACCCCAGTGGATGCCATTGGCACCTTCTCATGGGCCTTCATCTCCTGGGCTCCACTGATTCACTCCTCCTCCTCTTTCCCTCACATGAGTGAAGCTCATCTGAGCCTCATGATGCCATGGTAAGAGAGTTAGGGCAGGCGTTATTGCCCCACTCTACAGATGAAGAGACGAGGCCCACAGAGATGAAGTGACTTGCCCAGAGGAGGATCTGAACCAGAAGCCAGGCCTTCTGACGCTCAGCCCAGTATTCTCTCCACCGTGGCAGCTGTCTCGGTTCCTTTCGTCAGTTTAGATTATTTTCAGGTGTCCCTCCATGACCGTGGTTGGCTTTTTATTTCTTTTGCCTAATAATCTGAAGACGGCCACATTTTCTTTCCTTTTTGTCTTTTCGTAACCGCCTCGTACTGCAATTACTAAGAGCGTCCCTCTCTGTGAAAACATCGCACAATTTACCTCCAACTGACATTCAAAGTCTTCTTCCAGGCTCCATCCATTAACATTGCTTTGTAGCTCACACAGTTCCCCCAATATGCTCAAATTTTCCAAATGCAATAGTTTTCATGATTAAAGTGCTTAGTAATTGACCAATATTTCTGAACATCTTACAAAGCTAGCATCATGAGAAATTTATATTGTGAAAAAAACTAGACATTTTCATAATTAAAGTTATTTAGTTAGCCAAACCAAGATGTAACCATGGCCAAAATGATTTTAAAAAAAAGGCAAGAACCCTAACTAAAAAGCGAATTCCTTAACAAATTCAGGTTGATATAAAGGTTCACTACTAAAGGAAAATTACATAAACTACATATTGCAAACAGTTTTTGAAAGGATCATCCCAAACAATCCTTTGGCAACTTTGGAGTAAGAAGCAGTGCCGGGACTCAAACCTGTGCCTCCTCTGCCCACCCAGGGCTTTTCCTCAGCACATCTCACATTCGACATCCCAATCATTGGCTCACTCTTACCTCTTCCTGGGCCTGATTAAGCTGCTGCCTGAGCTGAGTCTGCTCCTGGGTGAGTTTTTCTAATTCATCTGATTTCTGCTTCACCTCCTTCCGCAAATCCTCAGAAATCGTGTTGCAGTTGTCCATCCCCTTCCTCAGGCGGGATTCAAATTCTGCAACCAAAACCTTAAGGCTCTGGATCTCCTCTTCTTTTGATGCTGTTTTTTCAGTGAGTTTCATCTGAGTTTCTTGGAGCTTCCTCTCTAGAGCGGCCACTTCCATCCTCAAATCGTTGGTAGCATTTGTTATTAAGTCAGTCATCTAGAAGATAAAGCAATGTTAGTATGCAGGCCACAGACGCTGGAAGACAACAGATTACTTATTTATACTCTTATAACAGGTTTAGAAAAACTAATGCGCTAAATTATTTTGACTGTTATAAAAAACAAACTATGGTTTCTTTCTATAGGTTTTAATTTTACCCTCTAAAATTCTGTCAAGCAAAAACTAATCTAGTCTTTAAGAAAGTTCTCTAAATCATTGTGATTGATCTCGTGCAGATTTTGAAAAGAGCAGTCCAGGACTGAACCACAGAAGTGTTTCTTGGGTCAATTTGATTTTCAGTAGCTAGCATGACACTTGGCACACTTGATAAATGGTCTTTGAATGAATATTGAACAAAAGAATTTGACTCTGCATTCTTGGAGTCATGTCCCCGCCCTAGAGTTTGGTCATCCTAGTTGAGGGCCAGAGTTCAATGTCATGGCCAATAGTAGCTCTTACATATGTCAGAATTATCCACCTTAAGAAAGATACCAAACCATTATGTACCATCTTGGAATCTTAGGTATCCATATTATTTTGTCATAATGTCTTCTAGATGAAAGTATGAGCTAAATTTTTTGGGAAGTTTGTGCAAGTATTATTTGAGTTTAAAATCTCCTACTGTATTGTAAAGCAATGGTTTGTAGATTTTATGGTCCACAGCCCACTTTCATGGAGGGAAAAAAAAAGAATCAAACAACCTGTATCTTTTGCTAAACAATGGGGAAAAACCATACTCAAGCAGCTCCTGATGAAATACCAGTAAGAAAATCCTAATTATTATAAATTAATACCATGCAAGGCATAGGTATTGTCATGTTACAAGTGTTAATTAAAATGAGCGCACAAATCACCTGGAAGATCCCCGTGAATTATTAGCAGTCCCCAAAGAACATGTGAAGAAACATTGCTCTAGATAACTGTCCAGCCAAAATTTGTGCCAATTATGAAATTCATATAAAAAAGCTATTCACCACAGCTGGTAGTTTTTACCGATGCACTATTAATAACTTATAAATAAGTAAATCAACTTCCAATTGTGCCCACATCATCTGTTCATCACAATAGGCATGATCAGGTTTCTTGCAAAAGTTGGACCAGATGAATATAGTTCTGGCCCTAATCAATCCATGCTTATCTTCCACCAGTATTTGTCATTGGTATCGATGGATAATTGAGTTAAATGTCATATAAGACTGACAAGCACAATTTTCTTGAGGTTACAGGTCAGATTTATGCTCTTATGTTAACCCTCCCTCCTCAGCTCTTCAAGGTCTGACTTCTAGGCTGTTCTTACCCATGGGAATGCCCTAACTCAGTGCAAACACAGCCCTCGAGGTCAGGTTGGGATGGTCACCCCTCTACCATTCTACTCTTCTCTTATTTCTATACCTGAGTAGAGCTTGGCTGCTGACCTCACGTACCAGACGCTGAGCCCAGCAGGCAGGAGAGAGGCAGCCCACCCTTTGCCCTTTGCCCTTTGCCCTTCACCTCTCCCTAGCCAATGCCCACCCTCTGTGCTGCTAACCTTCTCCTGAAGCTTCTCTTGCTCTTTCTGATATTGTTTTATTACTTCTTGGTGCTTTTCCTTTTCAATGGCAAGTTCCAGTTTCGCTTCTTCCTTCAGCTGAAGAGCTTGCTCCTGACACTCTGCTTGGTGCTGGATTCGCTCTTTATTGAGTTCAGATTCAAGCTGGAAAGCAGAGTTCAGCACACACACACACACACACACACACACACACACACACACACACACACAGATGCTCATTTTCACAGCTAAACAAGGACATGGAAATCATTTATACAAATATTATTTATACAGATTTCACTGCCTATTGAACAGTGAAAAGAAAAACGCTGGCATGGAATGTTAAAGTGGGAACCTGAGAGGACTACCCAAGGTAGGATCTTTGCACCAAGGAGGAGCTTAGAATTCTGCCAGATGGCTGATAGGGACAGAGTCCTGCACCACCAATGCTTGCACAGACCCAAAACCAGGGCAAGAACTGCAGAGCTCAGACTAGGGGACTATAAACAGCCTTTGCACTGGATCAGACCTCTTTGGAAGCACTGAAAGCTTTCAGGTCCCTAGGCCATTGCTGAGATCCTAGAATGGAATAATACTCAATACTCCAGGAAAATAGCCCCAGGACCAGCTAGACCTTCCCTCCAGAATTGCATGCAGCCAAGCCCTCATATCAAGTGCGAAGTCCAAGGCTGAAAGAATGAGCAAACAAACAAGAACAAGGAATCACCATATTGAGCTAGTGTGACAACAGTGATGTTCGAGACCCAATTACAGAAGAGAATGACTCTAAAACATCGACAAGCAAAGAGAATGACTCTAAAATATCTACAAGCAAGGCTCCAGAGAAGAACACAGCTTGGAGATAAACACCAGATCAGCATTCCTGGAAGAGATGAAGCAAGAATTAAAAGAGTTAAAAATGTTTTTATAAATAGAATGAGAACACATGAGGAAGAAATTGGAAAGGAATTATCAGCTTGGCACAAGAAACACAAAGCCCACCAAAGTAACAAACTCCCTGAAAATCCAAATGGGCCATATAGAAGACAATAACTGCATGAGACAACAAGAAATACTAAAATAAAATCAAAAGGCTGAAAAATAGAAGAAAATGCAAGGTTATCTCAGGGTAAAACCAACTGATCTGAAAAAACAGATTGAGGAGAAAAAAATTAATAATTATTAGCTGATACCACAAGGGATTAGAATATAATATTCTAGAAGACAAAAGATAAGGGCTTATAGCCAAGAATAACTTACCCAGAAAAACTGAGTTTAATGATACAAGAAAAATGATGAATTTTTAATGAAAGGACTTCTAAAGATTTCTAATTAAAAGGCCAGAGCTGTAGAGAAACTCTGAAGTACAAACACAGGTGCAAAGAGAAACATAAAAAGGGTTGGGCTTAGGATCACACGAATGAACAACGGTAAAAGATTAACCAAGGATTAAGTATTTACATTAAAATATGGAGGACATATGTGTCCCTCCATTGAACTCTACCCTCGTTAGGCTGCATAGAAGGAATTGTTACTTGAAAAATAAAAATAATAAACTATTTTAAAAGAATAAAGTCAAGGGGAGCCATGCATAGAAAGAATTAGAATGGAAAACTTTTGTTCTAGAAATGTGCTATTGGGTCATTTTCTAAATGGTGAGAAAAAAAATTAAATGCTTAAAGATAGAAGCTATATTATATGCTTTATTGCTATGCAAAGCACAAGTGACCCAAGAAACAGACGGCAATGCTATATTAATAGCTACTTCTCTTTCTTAGGAAAGATTTCAGAGCCCTTAAAGTCACATCTCCATGGATGACATTATCTCAGCTTTGTGTTAGTGGTATGGGATTTGGTGTCACGTTTTATCCTAAATGATGATCAATTAATCAAGAGCCGTAGCCCACAGTAAAGTTATTTTCCACTTTTAATCTAGAATATTGGGCTTGTTTATAAAACTGTGAATGCCCTTTGACCCAGCAATACCACTTCTAGGGCTGTATCCCAAAGAGAGCATAAAAATTGGAAGAGGATCCACACATGCAAAAATATTCATAGCAGCTCTTTTTGTGGTGAAGAATTGGAAATTGAGGGGATGCCCATCAATTGGGGAATGTCTGAACATGTTGCAGCATGTGAATGTAGTGGAATACTATTGTGCTATAAGAAATGATGAGTAGGCAGATTTCAGAAAGACTTACATGATCTGATTTTTGAATGAAGTGAGCAGAACCAGGAGAACATTGTGCATAGTAACAGCAACACTGTACAATGACCAATTTTGATAGACTTAGTTCTTCTCTGCAATTCAAGAATCTAAGACAACTACAAAAGACTCATAATGGAAAAATGCTGTCCACATCCAGAGAAAGAACTATGGAGTCTGAAGGCAGATGGAAGCAGACTATTTGCTCTTTTTTTGTTATTATTTCTTCTTTCTCATAGTTCCTCCTATTGGTTCCAACTCCTCTTTACAACATGACTAATACGAAAATATGTATAATATGAATGCTTATGTAGAGACTATATCAGATTGCATATCATCTTAGGGAGGGAAGAGGAGAGGAAGAGGGAGAAAATTTAAAACTCAAAATCTTATGGAAGTGAATGTTGAAAACTAAAAATAATTAATTTTTAAAAATCGGACTTAACTACCAATGTGCCTTCACAATGTAAACAAAATATTGGAAAGACTCTAGAGTCGATGGTAACATTAGAGAATTCAATTTTCTGTATATCTTTTGCTGTTGCCAAATTATCTAATCTCCCTCACTTAGCACACACATTCACACAATGCCTATAATGGATAATACCAGACCAAGTATTTAAGAGATGGTTCCATAAGCTTGAAGGCAAGGTGACGGACATTTCCAAAATCATTTTTTAAAATCAAAAGCATCTGGAAATGCTCAGTTGAGCTATGAACAACAGCTGGAAATATAGACCATCATACTTCTTCACCAAAACAGACAACCAAGCTCACTGTTAAACATTCTGATAATCACTATGCTAATATTAACTAAGAGTTAGAGAAACAGAGGAAGGGAATCTGAAGAGTAGAAAAATGATGGTTCTTGGATGAATCACCTTCTCCCTTCTGTCCAGTCTTTTAACATCCAGACTTGGACTGTTAAAGATATGGGGAGGGGAAGGAGTAGAGGAGAACTGTTCTAATTGGTCTGACAGCGGTTATGATCCTAGGAAATAAGAGGACGTATGGAGGCTCCAGGAAAAGTCAGTAGGAAACCCTGCGCATGAACAAAATCAGCATGACAAAATACTTCTTCTCAAATTCAGTTCAATTAAACAAGCATTTATTAGGCATTTTGCAATTTGAAGTTGAGATGAGTCAGGGCCCCTGCCTTCCAATTTCTCATCTACATAAGGGTGTAAAGTGACTATTTTGAATGAAGTATCATTCACCTTAACTTGTCACTTCACTATACAGAGTTTGAGCAATTGCTAATGTAGAGAAAATACAATTTTGTTTATTGACAGTGGAGGAAAGAATAGGTGTTTGTATAGTCTTAGTTAAGATGCTACATGCTGAGAACCACGACTCAAGAATTACCTGGTGTAATTACTATTATTTGTTTACATAAATAGAATTCACATCCTTGAAAGCAATGTGTACATATATATTTCTAATAGGAGTTTATTAGTGTTCTCCTTTCTTTCTGTAAAGTTCAATGATAATGACATATATAGTTTGGTACCAGATAGATCCTTGTAAATATGGTATGACTTGAAAGATAATGAGGAGTTCAGCAAATATGCAAAATACAATAGGCAAAGTGAAATGGATAATGATGAATTATATACAAGTTATTAGAAGGAAAAGAGTTATTGAAGTATTTTACAAATATGCTTTATATAACTAACATTTTCTGTATAAGAATCTGAAAGTTATTCTTTACCAACTTTTACTGTACTAGAATAAATGCCTGACATGCATCACTGAGATTTTTTAAAATATAATTGATTTTTCAATTTATCATAAGCTTCTCTCAAAGGTACTACTTGTGCTGTCTTTTCCTCTTTTCAGATTCTGAGATACTTTCAAATCCAAAGTATTCAGATGCTTCTTTCCTCCATTTTAAACATAAATTTCTTTCAGTTACAGGATATGGTCCATGTCTGAGTCAAATTTCCATTTTATGAGACCCAAATAAAATGCTTTTATTTTATAATGAAAAACTACATTTTTGCAGAAAACCACACAATATATTCACTTTACAGTAATTCAGAGGCTTTTCTGATCATAATGTCTTCCCATCACATTTCCTAAAATTTTGGAAAAGATGAATATTGCAAGCATATTTGGACTAGTGATTTCAGGAAGGCATCCAAAGAGTCAGTAGGCCCAATGAAATTTGGCAATGTATACAGCTTCCTGGCAAATGAATCGAAGTCAGGAAAATAAACAAATCATGAGCTGCCGAGAAGTGCGTTATTATTATTGTTGTTATTAGTATTATTACCTTCTCTCTCCAGTTATCATCACTCAGCATCTTCTGTCTGAAGTTTTCCTGCAGCTGCTCAAGTCTATTCTGATGCGAAATCAGCATTAACTCCCTGAAAACCACAAATCCAACAAAGTACATATTTAACTTGAAACAATCCCAGATGACAGTTTCAAGCTTATATAATGACATATTTTGAAATCTGTCTGCTCTTCCGCCTAACAATCCTGCTATAATGCAGCCAGGTGCCATTTTAGTCAATCTAACAGAAATTTACAAATACCGTACACCAAAAACAATTGACTTCTTTCCATGCCTATTTTTGCTCATGGCTTACCATACTGTATTGTCTCATAAAACAACAAAAATAATAGAGGGAAAACAAGGGTGAAAAAAGTTTTGGCCTGAAACTCAGTGCAGTCATCTATCCAGAGCATTCATAGATGAACCTGGAAGGAAGATGACAAGACTATGGAAGCAGAAGAAATCTGACAAGTTTCTGCCACATTCTGTTTCCACAATCACTGGCAGTATGACCACCGCATTAGCAATCCTGCATCTCAGGCCCGAATACAGTCCCGCTGCACCAGGAAACAGAAGGAAACACAAAGACGACGTCAGGTAGAGTAGCTGAACCAGAGCAAGCACAATAAGTCACGGAGCAATCCTGGGCTCGAGGCCCACTCGTGCTGAAAGCAGGGGCCCTCTTACGGGCTCCCTCATGATCAGGCCCCCACGGAACCTCAGCATCAGGGGACTCATCACACTGCGGGATTGCATCAGTCTTGGCACTCACACTGTGATTGGAGGGGACAGCGCAGAACGCCTCCCAAAGCCTCCAGTGAAAGAGACCCCTCAGAGCAGCCATCCCTTCCTTTCCTTTGAGATGGACTCCATCAGGGTGTTCCTCCTCCAGTGCCCCACCTTTTCATCTTCCTTTTGTGTGTTGACTGCCCCCCTTTAGATCATAAGCTTCTGGAGGACAGGGACTGTCTTTCTTTTTGTATTCGTATCCCCAGTGTTTACTTAGCACAATGCCTGGCACATGGTAGGCACTTGGTATTTATATAACTTTTTATATTGCCTTCATTTTCCAAATATGTCTGCCTCCTTCCTCTCCCCAAGCAGTCATTCCTTATAACAAAGAGTAAAAGGGGTGGGGGTTGGGGGGAGTGGTTCAGCAAAACTAACCCATGCATTAGAGAACGACAATATAAACATTGTTCCACACTGCAAAGCTCTCTCCCTTCTTTGAAGAAATGTGGGACTATGGATGGGGCCCTTCTCCCACGTCATTGCTGGAGACAGATTTGGCCATCATAATTTCACAATAGTTCAGTGTTTTGAGACAGGGGTCTTTCTATCACTGCCAGGCTAGGGCCCAATGCTGCTGCTGAAGCCCTGACCTGCTGCATTTCCCATCTGGGCTGCATCATTCCTCCTTGGCCAGCTTTGGGACATCCCATGGTTGGGGCTCACCAAATCGGTGTCAGACTTAGTGTGGACATCTAATCAGCTAATATAGCCAGATTGCTGCTCAGAACTCCTGAGCTCAAGCAACTCCCCAGCTTCAGCCTCCCCAAAAAGGAGGAATGACAAGCTGGCCAGTGATAGCAACATTGTTTCTATTGCTTCATTGTTACTGTTTCCACAGGCACCCTTGTATTTATTGGGTATATTTTCTCCTGGTTCTGCTTACTTCTTCACATTATTTAATTTAAATCTTCATATCCTATGAGTTTTTCATTGTCATTATTTCTTACAGTGCAGCTAATATTCTACTATACTTGTGTGCCATAATTAATTCAAAGCTCACCTTTTTAACCTCATAATCCCAGTAGAATTCAAGGTGACCCCAAAGGCCATAATTATGGTGGGCACAAGTAGACAATGACAGTTTTTCAATGATGACTATGCCAAGCAATGTTTTCTCTCCTCTCCTCTCTTCTTAACCCCTGACAATCTGGCTTTCAACTTGATCATTCCACTGAGACTGCTCTCACCAAAGTTACCAAAGCTCTCTTAGCTGCCAAATCCAATGTGCTAACTGCACAACGGCAAAACGAGATACAAGAAAGAGTAGCCCTGCACGCCACCTGCCTTGACGCAAGCAGGAGCAAAGCAGAGGATGCTCCTAAGTGGAAGGATCCCGCTTCGTGCTTCCAATAGCCATGGTGCTCATCACACTCTGCTCCTCAGCTGTAGGAAAGAGTGATAGGCTCTCCAAGCTGAAGAGAAACTGGGCTTTTGCTCCAGTACCTTCCAGAACACTGTTAATTAAAAACAGTAATGGCTCTCATTGATATAGTCCTCTAAGACCAAAATATGTTATTCCATTTGGTCCTCACACCAATAACTCTGTGAAGGAGCTGCTACTATTACAATACCTCATTTTACAGATAAGGAAACTTGAGGCAGGGAGTGAGAGGGTAAGAGACTTGTAGTATCTGATGCAGGATTATGAACTCAAGTCTTTCTGACTGCTGACTTCTACCACTCCCCTCACTATACTGTCTAGCTCTCCACTCTAACTGCCAATATTCTAATTTCTTGTTCCATCTGAAAATAACCTTACTTCTAGTCTGGCCCGGAAGAGGCAGATTGCTGGAAGGGAAGGTTTCTACAGTTAGGTCAGGTTCTGGGAGAAGAGGTTTTGGGAGTGGGAGAAAGCAAAGAAGAAAACAATCCATTTACAGTTTCCATTAGGTTGCATCTTTACAGACACATTCTGGTGGAGAAAAAAGGTCATGTGGCCAAATTCAAATGAAAGAGAAAAGAACAAAAGAAAACTACCTGTCTCTCCAGACTAAAAAGGTTTCTCAATAAGGAACAAAGTGATCTTTTGAGTAAGCACTTGGAGCATATGATATTTAAAAATTCCCAGTTTCTGAGGCATCAGAATATTATGTACACCCAAGTCACACAAAATGTGGGTAGGGCTGAACTTCTGAACCTCCCTACCCTCTAACCCATCAGATTAAGTCAGGTCAAGAAGCACTGATAAACACCTGGTATGTAATAATAGGCAGGCCCTGTGCCTGTGCTTGGGATACAAAGGAAGACCAAAAAAGTCCCTGCTCTCAAGGAGGCCACTGTCTAACAGGGAGATGAGATTCAACAACTCTGCACAATCTAGACACAAGATAAATTGGGCATGATCTCAGGAGGACCATGGATGGGATCTTGAAGGTCATCCAGTTCAATTCCTGTATTTTATAGATGAGGAAACTGAGGCCAAGAGAGGGGATGGAATGTACTCAAAGTCACCCAAATGGGCCATCTATCTCCAATGCCAGGATACCACATTACTGGGCAAATCTTCCCATATCCTTTCAATCTTTTTTAAAAAAAATTTTTTTTAAGGTAATTGGGGTTAAGTGACTTGTCCAGGGTCACACAGTTAATAAGTGTCAAGTGTTTGGTCTGAGGCTGGATTTGAACTCAGATCCTCCTGACCTCAGGGCTGGTGTTCTATCCACTGCGCCACCTAGCTGCTCCCCATATCCTTTAATCTTACACACAATTTAGCGACCATTTAAAATTGTCCCTTTGTAACCTTGGATAGGGCCTGATGAGGGCCAAACCCCATAAATCCTGGGTATTGATGATCAGCTCTCTCTTTTAAGTCAGATGTTGGCTTCGGGACTGACCCAAGTAGCCTAGGTGTTTCTGAAAGCGCGATATAGTTCTAGGCCACACCAGGTAACCACTACATGTCATATACGGCATGCACGCCTCTTTCTTTTGTCTCATGAAAAAGAGACTTTTCATCAGATTCAAATGATGATGTCTCTTCCTCTTCAGCAATCTGTAGGAAACCCAAAGGGGTAGAACCTGTGTATCCCTGGCACCCAGAAACTCCAGTGACAGCATTCCTCTTTGATCTCATCTTTTGGAAGGATACCCCCAAATCACTTGGATGTTTCAAAAGGCTTTTGGGGCCATGCTGTACATTTTTCTGAGAACAGAGGAACTAGGAATATAACTCTAGTCTTCGTCTCTCCTCAAATCTCCCCCACCAAAAGTGGTTGGTGGTTCAGTGGTTAGAGCACCGAGTCAGGAGTTAGGAAGACCAAATCTAGCCTCAAACGTTTCCTAGTCATGCGATCCTGGGCAAGTCACTTAATTTCTGTCTGCCTCAGTTTCCCCAACTATAACATGAGGGTCATAATAGTGTCTACCTCCCAGGATCGTTGTGAGGATCAAATAAGATAATTATAAAGGGGTTGGCAGACTGCCTGACATACAGTTGTTTAACAAATGTTCCCTTCCCCTTCCCTTCTTTCCACCACAACAAGCTCAGACTCCATTCTCTGTCCTCCCCACAGACTGCCTTTTAGATGTCATAAGTAAACACTCTAGAATTGGCAAGTTTGGGAAAACATGAATTACAGACATGGAGTTAGGAAAATGCCTCTAGCTCCATTGATCACCAACTTTGCAGCACTGGTTACATTCTAAGATGTAGGAGAGGCTCATTCAGTCCTACCCAAGATGGTTTGGGGTGACTGCCTTACCCTGGGGTAGGGATGAGTTACCGTGATGGCATCCACTGCCCACCCAGGCAGCCAGATGGTACAGTGGATAAAATGTTGGGCTTGGTGTCAGAAAGACCTGAATTCAAATGTAGCCTCAGATACTTCCTAGCTGTGTGATCCTGGGTAAGTCCCTTAACCTTTGTCTGTCTCAGTTTTCTCAACTGTAAAAGTGGGGTTGCTGTGAAGATCAAGGAGATACAATTTTGTAAAGCACTCAGCACAGTGCCAAGCACATAGCAGGTGCTCAATAGATGCTTATTGCCCCTCAATCTCCCCTCCCCTGCTTCTCTTGGTGAGTCTGCCCAATTTCCAGGAGAGGTTGCTAGGCTACATTAAAGAGGCTTAGGCTCAGTTGGTGATAACTCTATCTCCCTTCTTTCCCAAACATTTGTGTAATCTGAGTCCTAAAGACCATTGGAATGGGACTCTCCTCCTGGTGGACATCAACGCCCCACACCTGGGTGAAGGGTGGGGCCGAGTTAGCAAAAGCAAGAGAGAGGAGAACTCTGCTCCCTTCAGACTCTCTTCAGGTCCTTTCTGGCCCTTCTGGCTTCCAACTTCAAGGGAGAAGATGGAAGAGGCCAACCCCATTTCAGGTTGCTAGTGGGAGAATAAGACTCTGGGAAGAAGCTGACGTGGCAGAAGCTAGCAGACTCTATCACATCCCTATGCCTAGCTTGCTACATTTGAGATTTCAGATAACTTCCCCTTGGGTGAGAACTTGGACTCTCTCTCTTGGTTGAGTTATCTGGCTCCCAATGGGAAAGCTCCTTCACTCTGTCTGATACATGTGCCTTCTCTGATCTCTGTTTGCTATGATTTGGATAAATGGGTTTCTTAGTTACCTACTATATACTTTTATTACAGAACGGATATTTGGTGGTAAAGGGGTCAAGACTAAGATATAGAACTTGGCATCCTCATTCCCCTCAATAATGAAACAGTGATCAAAAGTTAGCTTGACCCTGAAACTCACATCCCCTAGAGTTTAGGGCCTAGACTAATATTTAAGGGAGCAAATAGGTGTAATTCTAACCCTGTATCCTCTCTCAAAAGAGAGCAGAGTGGCCAAGCTTTTGGCCCCAAGTGCCTGCTTCCCCTACTAGCAAGAATTTTAATTCCTTTAATTCCTTTAGTCTCCTTTGTAAAAGGGTTGGGGGAGAAGAGAAATATCCAGAGAAATCTATTCTGCCTCTCTTTGAGCCACACAATGACATCCCCATGCTACATGTTGTGGGACAATTCTCTCTATTTCTATCCCAATTTACTCACACACTTCTCTCCTCCCCTCACAAATACTTCTTTCTCCCAGATCTAGAGAGAAAAAATGCCCATGTTTTCTTCCCTATTGTGTCCACTTCTTTGAGGCGTAGGAGCTTCAGGAATGACTCAGAAAAGCTGCTCACAGAAGGAGGAAGGAGAGTCATGACTGACACTGTTTACTGAAGGTAAAAAGAAAAAGTACCTAAAGAGTTAGCCTGACATCTTGCCGTTTAATTGCCTCTCTATGGTACCTTCCCTACAGTACTTGACATCCTGTCAAGTGAGCCTTATCACCAAGCTCATTAGACTTGTGTCTAAAATAAGAACAAATGGGCTAAATGAGGACTTCAAAGGCCTCCAATGAGAAAAATATGGGTACTCTAATGCAAGCATGTTTTATATATATTTGGACTATTCTTGGGTGCTTTCCTTGCTTACCTCCTTTGAGTACTCTTCTCTTCTCCCTCTCTATTACTTTACTTAGTGATCTCATCGGCTCCCATGGATTTAATTACCATCTCTAGGTTGATGATTCTCAAATCTACCTTTCCTTTTCCAATCTCTCTGCTGACCTCTAGTCGCACATCTCCAATTGCTCCTCAGACATCTCAATCTGGATGTATAGTGGACATCTTAAACTCATTATGTCCAAAACTGAACTGGTTATTTTCCCTCCCACCAACCCTCCCCCACCCTCGGTCTTCTACCTTCTGTTGAAGGCATTACCATCCTCCCAGTCCCTCAGGCTCACAACCTTGGAGTCATCCTTGACACCTCATTCTCATATCCCAGGCTGTTGCCAAGGCCTGTTGATTTCACACCTCTACCCACCTCCCCAACCCTATCCCCAACATCTCTGGTCAATTTCACCTCTGCATCATCACTTGTTGATTTCATCTCTACAACATCTCTGGTCAATTTCACCTTTGCATCATCACTTATTGACTTCACCTCTGCAACATCTCTGGTCAATTTCACCTCTGCATCATCTCTTGTTAATTTCACCTCTGCAACATTTCTCAATTGCACCTCTGTAGCATCTTGTCAATTTTGCCTTTGCAATATCTCTCCAACAAACCCCCTTCTCTCCTCTGACACTGCCCCTATTCTGGTGCAGTCCCTCATCACCCTACACTTACACTGTTGAAATATCTCTTAATTCCAGTACCTTCTGTCTGTCATTTTCTATGCTTATCCCTTCCACATCACAACTTTCCTGATCATGGTTTTGATATATTGTGAGTTGGCAAAAGAAATTAAATGGAAGTTTTGGGGGAATTTTGCAGAAGCTGCAGACAATACACAAAGGCCAGCAGAAGACACAGAAAAAGTTTAGAAACTCAGAAATACATAAAATATATGTATCGCATTGTATAATATCAACATATTTTATCTTTTAATACCATAATTATTTAGACTTCTTCTCTGGTACAAAGGGAGGGCCCAAAATTTTATTCCAGTTTACCAGATCTCAGGGGCATCTCAGTGGAAGAGAGAACTAAATCTATCCTGTACGTAGCTTACTTTGTATATATTTCTTTGCATGTTGTCTTTCTCCATTAGATGGCAAGCTTCTTGTGGGCAGGGGCTGTCTTTTGCCTCTTTTTGTATGTCTAAAGCTTTGTACAATGCCTGGCATATAGTAGGATTTAATAAATGCAGTCCCTGCTCTTCTATTCACTAACTGAGCGGCCATGGGCCAGTCATTACCCTCTCTGGGCCTCAGGTTTACTCATCCCTACAATGAGCATGTTGGACCAGAGGGCCTCTGGGGGCCCTCCCAGGGTTAAAGCTATCATCCAATGATGTGCCACCCCAAATGGAAAACTTAACCATGAAAGCTTATGAAGAGTCCTGTGTGCTTATCTTTACCTTTCATTTTTCAGCGTTACAACCTCTTCCTTTGCCTGATTCAGAAGGATTTTTGTCATTTCCAGTTCATTCTCTGAGAGGCTGATTCTTCTTTTCAAGTTTTCTTCTAGCCTTTCTTTTGCAGCCACTTCTTCCTGTAAATGTTTGCACATTTGTTGACAAGCCAGCAAAGAGTCTTCCTTCTCTTTTAGCTCTCTAGCATGTCTAAAAAAGAATAGAAATAGAGCCACCAACGTGCCTGGGCTGCCGCTCTCTGTTTCTGCTAAAGCTTTGTGGTAACAAGGAGGCGGGTGCCATAGTGGGGAACAGTCACACACAAATGCCAGGGGAGGTGTTGGGAGCTGGGCCGCGGCCAGTCACATGGAGCACACACACACAGTGCCACAGCAAAGCAAGACACAGTGAAACACATGGTGCCAAGTCCCACTATTACTACGCTACTGTAAGGTAAAGAAGGATCAGGATGTGTACCGTGTTTCAGAAATTTTGCTTTCAAACTTCAGTTTTCTATATTTCCTCTGATACTCATCAGCTTCATCTGATTTAGCCCTAAGGAAGATAACAACAAAGATGAAAAAAAAAGTCCATTAAAATACATTTGGTCCAAGAAATCAAGAGTTCCATATTTATTTTCATCTCATTATTTGATAGCATTATGAAAAACAAGCCTTTTTTATTAGTGTGATTGTTTATAGATACAGACATTTCCCACTATCTCGAAAGATAATTAAGGTTTTGTAATAATACCAAAAGGTTGAGCCTACAAAGAGATGTGATTTTTTAGTTAGGGGTATCAGTCAACAAATTCAGTGGCAATAATCATAGTTCAGAGACTTCGTAATTATGAAGTAATTCTGATTACCTGCAAGGATCGCCTACATTTCAAGGAATCTAAAAGACAAACAGCTCTGACCTCTTTCTTTCCTTCTCATTTTTTTCCTTTCCCAAAATGTACTTAGTGCTCTTAGATGCCACTCGGCCTCTGGAAACTCTTGTGAGGTCTTTCATTCAGATCACGGCACAAGAGGCTGTTTTACGGAGCTACGATGAACTTTCTTATGTAGGTTTTTCTTAGTTCACTATAGTCACATAACTGTGTCATTAATATTAAAAAGCAGACAAACAACAGTGTTAGGTTTAAGCTATCTAAACGGATTGTTGATTAATTAAACCACCATCACCAGCAAAACAAACAACAAAGCCCTGCCCTGCAGGAGGAAGCAGCCCAGTGAGCTCTCTGATGAACTCCAGTGTCAGGCCAGGCATTCATCTCTTGCTCCCTGGATGTGACTCTCGTCACCAGAATGAATTGTTCATGTGTGAGGAGAAGGAGCTGGCACTTGTACAAATAACGTTCTCCTGGGCCAGCAGTGAGTACTGTAGATTGTAAAGGGCTGATGAGGACCTTGAAGATATCTCTTGAGCAATCAAATGAATGTCTGGGGTGAGCCCTGCATGCAGAACACCACGCTATTGGCAAGAGAATGCCTGGCAGTATTGCTGTCCTTCCTCCATAAAAGCTTCATTCCAATATCTCACTGTGGCATCAAATTGAGTGCCAGCAGGGTCCACCTTGTGGGAGGCCTCCCCAAGCTAGAAAGACTTAGTAATAAACTGTGAGGCTGTCAGCTGGGAGGCTAAACTGAATTAGCTCAGAGGCTTTCATCAGCAGATGGGTCATAAGGGGATTATTTGTTGTTGTTGTTGTTGTTGTTGTTATTGTTGTTGTTCTGCAATGGTAACTCATGAAGACTGTCTCCTAAACCCCAGAAGGACTGAGATCTGCATATATGCGGGGAGTCCCTGCAACAAAGACTCTGAGGATCTTCTGCAGCTTGGGTGTTTGCAATGCAGTCATCTCTTTAAGAAAACAAAGATTTAGACCAAAAAGCCTAATTGTGTAAATATCACACAGTTGACAATTTCTATTTGAAATCAGAAAAGAACCTGCAAATAGCTACCCATGGTCTCTTTGACTTGTTACATTTGCTGGATTATTCAACAAATCAAACCCAGAGACGGACACACAAATACATAAATTTCAAGATCTGGGAAAGAGACAGGAAGTAGTGGCTATATCATTTTTATTCTCATAATTTCCCACTTTTTAAGCTAGTATTTTACTGGTTACATGGATAAATTAATTATGGCTGCAGCTTTCTTTGAATATTTTTCTTTTTACTTTCAGCAGAGACAATTATTCATGTGTCTTCAATTGCTCTGACCAAGCCATCAGAATGGCTCCTGCTGCTCTTAGCAAGTGAAGCAATGTGGAAGAAAGACATGGAATAATTCCTTCTGAAAATCTAGAAAGTGTGAACAGAAATAGGTATGTGACAGAGAAGCAGGAGTAAACAGAATAGTTGAGATATATTTTGAGGATAAAATAAATATACTTGGTGGGAAATGCAATTGAAAAAGGCATGACCTGTCACTAGCCATCCTAGCCTAAGCCTTCTCGATACATTCTAGGAACTTCTGGAGACAGCAGGCACAGTGAAGCCGGGGTGCTGGGGGTAGCTCAGGACAACCCTCTGGCTCTTGCTGGATAAGTCAACAGGTAGGAGCAATGAGCTTTTGAGGTGAGGAATAACTACAGTTATGTTGTCTGCTGCTACTCTGGCTCTTGTAAAATTCCAACATCTTATAAGTAGCCAAATAAAATTTAAAAGTCAATAATGAGGCATTTGTCCAATTTATGAAAAGGGTAACCAAACCTTCTGTTTAGAAATTGAGAAGGTGAGGTATGGCTGTGTCCCAAGACAGCTCAATCTGCTGCTTGGAAGTCTCAATTTCATCTTCACTCCTTCTGCCTGGGGCCTGCTGAGCTGAGCTCACACCAAGAGTTTCCATCCTAGCATTGTTCTCCCTGGTGCCTTTGCTAACCTGGGATTCCATCTCACAGACACTGGTTCATTGGTATTCTCTTTCCTAGAATAAAGGTAGGCTTGATGACCTCTCAAAAACTTGTTGGCTATAAAATTTTGTGAAATATATTCATGGAGGGGCAGCTAGGTGGTAAATAACACTTACTAGCTGTGTGACTCTGGGCAAGTCATTTAACCCCAACTGCCTCGACCAAAAAAAATATATATATGCAAATACATATACATATATATATACATATATATGTGTATATATATATATATATATATATATAATATTCATGGAATGTTTTCCAAGGTGTTTTCAAGTGTTCAAAAGCAAAGACTTTCATTTTAGTTGAAGTAGACTCGTGATTATAAAAGGGAGATGTTAATTTTATTTAGATAATTTCCCAAGCAATTCAACCCAAAGGTCATTCACTAAATGCCTGCCTGCCTGCCCGGGGCAAGGCTCTGGACTAAGGGCATAATACTGATATACCTGTTTACCCCTAAGTATGACATGACACATGATTGAATGTAACGGGGGCAAAGGGGACTCTGCTGGTCCCAGTGCTATAAACCATTTTTATCAATGACTTGGATGATGAAGGCCTAGTTGCTGATTGGCTTTGCAGGACAGACAAAGCTGGGGGAGCAGGCAAACATGGGATAAGAGAAGGGATCCAAAAAAGATCGTGACTGGCAATGAAGAGAACAGAACCCAGAAAATAATGGATACAGTAACGACTTGATCAGTCATGATTCCAGAGGACTCATGAGGAAGCCCGACAGAGCTGTTGGTTACAGGGTGCAGAGAGGGACTGATGCTTTTTGGATCTGGCCAACGTAGGGATTCTTTTTGCCTGACTACGCATATTTGTCACAAGGATTTTATTTTATTTTTTTTCTCAATTGGAGGGGGGAGGTGGAGTCAAAGGAGTTGCCAAAGAAGAAAAGGAAGGAAGGAGTTAAGAAGATAAAGAAAAGAAAGGAAAGAGGATCATTAAAGCATTTTTTATGCAACAAAGAGAACAGAAAAAAGGTCAGACAAGCAGGACGTATTTTAAAATTAAATGTTAAATTGTTACATACTTAAAAATAGAAGCAAACTGTATATGAGATTTGTAATTTCACACGCAACCCTGTTGTTTCTCTTCTACTGCACATTTCTTCTAGTGTTTGTTAACGTCAGAATAAAAAAAAAAAAAGTTAAGATCATGGCCAGCTAGACCACTGGCCCAAATCTGCTGAAATGAAAGTTAATGGAGACCACTGAGGTCTCACACTTGGGTTCCAAGAATCCCTGGGACACACACAAGAGAAGACGGGCATGGTCAGAGAGCTGTTTGAGAAGCCAGGGGAGTTTTCTCAATCTGAGCCGACAAGGTGATGCAGCAGGCCCAGAGTTCAAGTGATTATCTACAGGATCGAACATAAAGTCCCTGATTGGCGCTCTTCAAGCAGAAGCCGGCTGGCTTCTTGTCAGGTATGCCAGGCATAGTCAGACTCCTTTATAAAGTACGAGTTGGACTTTTCCAATGTTTATTTTATTTGGATAACTTCTCAAGCAGTTCAACCAAGGATCATTCACTAAGTGCCTGCCTGCCCTGGGCAAGGCTCTGGCCTAAGGGCCTAATGCTGATGTACCTGTTTACCGGTAAGTATGACACGACATGTGATGGAATGTGATGGGGCAAAGGGGACTCTGCCGGTCCCTGAGCTGTAAACCGTGGTCTATTCCAATCCTAAAATGTCACAGTTCTTTTGTTAGGTTTGAACTTGGCAAAGGCCATAAGAAATTTGAGAAGAAAGAGATTTGTTTCACCTAGAAGGGTCGAGAAGGTCTCATGAGACAGATGGCATCTGATTTGGCCCTTAAACAAAGGAGGATGAGGCAAAAGAAGTTATTTCAGCACTTAAGAATGAGGTGAAGAATGAAGGCATAGGAATGGGACAGGGGAGAGCAGGAAAGGGGTCGATCCACTTGGCTTAGAACATAGAACACTGCATACAAAAGGCAGCAGCAGGAGACAATTCTTTGTATGTAGGTTGAAGCAATACTGTGGGGAGCCTTGAATGCTAAGATCAGTAATTAACATGTTATTTGCTAGCTAATGGGGAGACAAGGGAGTAGAGGAGTGACATGCTCATTAGGTAGCAGTATGGTGGGTGACTCGGAGAAGGGCAAGTCCAGAAGCAGGAAGTACAGTCATGAGGCTCTCAGAACAGTCTACGGGAGTCAAGAAGAAGGCCTGGACTGAACGGCTTCATGGGCTGGATGCAAGAGTTAGTTCAAAAGAAGAACCAATAATTCTTGAAAACAGACAGGATGTACGGGACAAAGGAGCCAAAAGTGACTTCCAGGTTATTCACAGCTATGATCATGGTGGGCATGGAGAGAACACTTATGGAGACAGTCAGACTGAGGGGAAAGATGAGGAGATTAGCTTGATACCCATTGGGGTTGAGGTGGTGATGGACCACTGGATAGAACATACAGTCAACAAGGAAGGGCTTTGGGGGGAAGGTGGAATAAAAGTGTCAATATAGGTTAAGGGGGTCACGCCACACAGGGGATAACTGAAGTCACATGAGTTCCTGAAATCTCCAAGGAAGGCCAGGCAAGAGGACTTGGAGAACACCCAGGTTGAAGAAGCTGGCATAAATACACCTGTGAAACAAGGCCGTATTCAATATTTCTATTGCACTCCTTTGCAATCAATATTGTGATTGCTTCTGGAAGAGTGTGTCAATAGGCTACCCTACAGACCAAGTCACAATAGCTATGACTCTCCAGATGAAAGCTCCCCTAAATGTGTGGTTTCACCTTAAGGATCAGCAAAAGGCTACACCTTGGCACTTGCATTCCTAACATTTAGCACAATGCCTGACACAGAAACCCTTCATAATTGCTTTCTCATCCATCCATCCATCCATCCATCCTTCCATCCATCCATTCATTCTAGCTTGATGTTCCTAAATCATCACTTGGATAAATTTAAATGACTAAATCTTCAACTTCACTTTTTTGAATACATTTTCTGAAAATTATGGATGCTAACTTTTCAGAAACAATCAAGTCAACCACAGGAAAACATGGTAAAATCTTACTATTTATTAATAATTTGTGATGATTTAGACTGGGCACTGAAATTTACTTTCGCTCTAACTAGGAAAAAGGGCTTGGCTATGCAAATAAATAAGTTAATCAGATAAGAGAATAAATTGTCTGTGATCACCTTAGAAACATCCATTTGTAAACAGCTGACAAGCTAATTACAAATCATTAGCCATCAATTTTTTTTTTTTGGCTAGGCAATGGTGTTAAGTGACTTGCCCAGGGTCAGCCATCAGTTCTTTAGAGCTGTCCTTGCCAACATCTGATACTTTGTTAAGTTACTACATACAGTATATTGAAAAGAACAAAACTATATTTTCTTAATAATCTTTTCTAGTTTGACTTTAATAGAGTCAGTCTTGGCCTGCTACTCAAGTAATCCCAACATAAACTCTTCAGAAGAGGCAATGTAATATCAAATAATCATATCTCAGTAGCTCAATAATATAGTGAGAATTCTTAACAGAAGAATACGCTTCCAGAGAGCACACTGAAATCTCTCTTCTAAAATGATTTTCCTGGAAACTTTTGTGAAAAACAAAATCAGTAGGTATGCAGTTAACAAACAACTTATTTGGACCCACTTTGATGCTGTGACTACATTGAAACCCATCACCTTGACACAGAAAAGGCATCCTGCAGGAACGCCAAGTCCCACTAACCAGTGGGAAAGTTCAGCAGCATCAGAGACATCAGCTCAGACACAGAAAGGTCAGTGGAGGCCCTCATGTTCAACCCCCTCTTTTTACAAGTGAGAGGAAACTGAGCCACAGAGGTTAAGTGACTTTCCCAGGATCAAGGACCTTGTAAGTATCTGAGGCAGGATCTGAATCCAGGTCTTGCTGACTCCAAGGTCAGCATCCTCACCACTGTACCACACAGCCTCTTAACATCTTAGTGGCTACCAGTGCACCTGGCTTTTCTTGCTCAAGATTCTTGTCCCTTCGTGTTTGGTTAGCCACATGGAGGAGGGATAAGGACTGAATTTGTGATTTCATTGGCATAGGAAACTCCAAGGAGGAAATTCCCTCTAGGAATGAAAGTCAGTATCTTTTCTACAACAGGTAGTCTCAGAGAATTATGTAGGGCAGTGAAAGGTTAAGTGACCTGCCCAACATCACACAGTCAGTAAGTATGAGAGACAGGATAAGTTCTAGACCCAGATCTTCCAACCCCTTTTTTTCCACTACCAAGCAGGAGAGCTGCACAGAGTTATGCTCCACCATCACCACCAAAAAGGGAAGAATGAAAGAAAAGGCAAAGTCTAAAAATGTGAGGAACCTGCTGCCATCTATCTTTCAACTTCTGAAAGTCCAGTGAAAACTGGATTTCTCCAAAATCGTCAACTAAAAAGAGTAAAAGAAACGAACATCTTAAACAACTGCCATGTTGTTGACTGTGAAAGGTCAGAGAAATCAGGCACACAGTCACCCCATGTGACAAGTCTCCACTGACTACAGGAGAGTTTTAGGACACAACCAGGTCATCAATGACTCCCAAGGCTGAGCCTGCAGGACCAAAAGAAGTGGCCCGGGAGGGAAGGGCATTACTCAACCTGGAGTCACCCAGCCGGGCCACAGGCAGACACACGGAACACTCCACTTTAGAGTAACCTACTGCTTGTAACATCTGAGGCACCAGCCAGCCCAAAAGAGCAACCCAGGTGCTGCTAGACTAGGCCAGCTTGGTTTGCACAGCTCAGTGGTGTCTCGTTACTAAGGGATCCATTCCATATCAATTGGGTTCATGTGTCGATGTATTTTAAGAGAAATTATTTTGCTAAAAATAATCTAACTATACTTAGATATTTCTATAATTGGCCTTGAATTATTAAGTAATTTATTAGATGTAGCCTTCTTTTAGGTAACAATCTTATTTTCTTTACCAAAACAAATGTTTTGTTGCTAAGCATTCTAAATATTTGTAATTTGTTATGGTCCTTCTCTCTGAATACAGGAACTGAAAATTACAGCTACCAAATATACCATAAAATAAACCTTGTTCCTTGTCAAAGACTCTATAGAGATCCTTGTCTAGTAGCAACAAATTATGAATGTGCTGAAGGCACACTGAAAACTAGTTAAGATTGCCAAAACAAACCTAGAGTTCATAAAGAGTTGTAGGAGGGTTGCGCAGTGGGGCAGAGTCTGTTTTTCCCCATATTATTTTGTTTTAGAAGATTTGTATGTTTCTTACTAAACAGAGCAGCAAACTTCCAAGGTAGAGCACAAGACTTGAGTTGGAGGATCCAAGCTCAAAACCTGACTCTGCTATGCCCTAGCTGTGTGACCCTGGGCCTCAATGTTCTCATCTGTAAAATGGGGATATTATTTGCCCCTACCTCCCAAGGTTATCGTGAGGATCACATGAATTAACATGTAAAGCATTTTGCTAACTTTAAAGTGCCAAATAAATGCTATCATTGTTATAAAGACTCCTTGCATTTAGAAGTGATTTTAAGAAACAGTTTAACCATGTGACCAGTTCTCTAAGGACAGACCAGAGATAGAGTAGGATAGGTATCATGGGACACAGACTATCTCACTAAGGAATTTGTCTTTGAGCAACTGGTTCAAAAATTCTGCAACAGGAAGGAAAGTTTGAGTCCCAACTCTGACATGTCCTGGCTGTGTGACCCTAGACAAGTCACTTCCCTTTCCAGGGCCCCTGGCTTATCTCTGAGCTGAGTGTGGAGCTGTTAGGGACCTGCAGAGGCAGAGTAGTTTTCTTCACTATGAGATTCCTAGAAGCAATGAAATGACAGGATTGGTCTCCCCAAAATGTGGCAACTCCATTTCACATGTTTACAAGAGGTCCTGTGATCTCTCACTTGGATGGGGAAAATTGCCCTTCCTCCCTTGTCTACAGTCAGTTCTACTCGGGCAGCTGGAATCCTTCCCAAGGCCGCCAGCATGTCGTGCCCAGGAGCCCACGTGGTCTGGCCAGCCATCCTCTGGTGGCACATTCTTTTAGCGGGGGTGCTGGGCGACCGGGTCACTTTTAAAATGGGAAAGTACTTGCATGAACATTTCTTTGTACTGGTCAGCTTCACTGGCTGCTTTCTGAAACTTCAGTACCACGGCCTCTATTTGACTTTGTAAATCTGAAATGACAAAACAGATCCAGGGCACTTTTTATCTTGTTGCCCAGAGTTTTCCGTTCGCATCAAGAGAACTGTCACCAACTTACAGCGTGCCCTCAGATCAAGCAGGTCCTAGTTAAAGGAGCTTTTTTTTTTTTTTTGCTTCAGGCCTTCATTGCTTCTGGCCCGGATGATGGCTCTGGCCTCCCTGCCTCCCTCCCGCTTCTCCCCATCCTCTGCACAACTGTTACAAAGTTCTGGCCTCGATGCAGGGGCTCCCTAGTGCTTCCGGGATAAACTAGAAAGGCCTCTGAGTCAGCACGACACTGGCTCGCCTCCCTCCCCCGTCCCCCGACATTCCAGCTGGCCTGGCCAACTTGCTCTTCCTCAGTAGGCCGTTCTGTATGCCCGATCCTTGCCTTTGTAGAGGCTGGCCCCCGAGCCAGGAAGGCACGAACCCACCTGCTCCTCTAGGAATCTCTAGCTTCATTCAAGGTTTATCTCAAGTTCACGCGCGACATGAGGTCTGTTGGGATCTCCCTTGTTGCTAGTACCCTTTCTAACCCCAGAAATTAGGGGGAAGGGAAGAAGATAAGCATTTACTAAGTACTTACTGTGGGCCATGCACTGCGCTAAGCACTCTTCACATATTATCTCATTTGATTCTCACAAAAGACCTGGGAGATCAATGCCGTTATTATCCCCATTGGACAGTTGAGGAAACTGAGGCATTCAGAGTTAAATACTTGCCCAGGGGGATGCAGCTGGGGAGTATCTAAACTCAGGTTTGAACTCAGGTCATCCCAACTCCATATCCAGTGCTCTATCCACTGAGCCACCCAGCTGCCTCCCAATCAATACTACATATTAAGTGTATTTGTCCAAGTTCACAATGGCCACCCCCAACCTTGCTTTTGTCCAGGATGGTGCCTGGCATAGAGGAGATGCTTAATAGATACATACTTGTTGAATTAATGAGTGCCTACAGCTATTCATTCACTTTTGTCCTCGAACCCAGGACCCACATCAGGTACCAATGTTGCCAGGCAGTCTGGCAACCTGAGTTGGGCGTCTGGGCAGTGACAGGAATTCAAGAAATTCATCGAACAAATCTTTAGTGAGTTCCTACTGCGTCATCACCCTCTCTTCCCACTAGAAATTACTGCTGTTAAGAAATAATTCCATTGCCTTCAGTTTTTCACTGAAGGACAAGGTTCTAAGGGGACTATGAAGATTCCCAGGGCATGGCTCCTGTCCCACCAGACCCTGCTTGTGCACAGATCACATGCTATTGGTCTTTGTAATTCATCAGAGGTGGTGGCCCTCGTGACTTGATGAGGTTGCCTTATTCCTTCTGAGATCCCTCACAGTGCTTGCTACACCGTCTTGTATACCACAGGCACTCAGTAACGATTCATCGGATCAATAACAATAAATACTCAGAGCAGCCTCATAGTTTGAGATTTTTTTCCAGGCGCATTGCTGATACATAAGTTAACAATCATTCAGAAAGTTTACTATGTATAGAATGCCTGCAAGATGCTACAATTGATGATGAGAAATGGGACATGGGGTCCCTGCTGTCCAATCTGCTGCAAGCAGCCACACATGCTCACATGAAGCAGAGGTACAAATGCAACACATCAACGAATAGCATCCAAACTTTTTTTTTCCTCAATAGTAGAACAAAAAATTCTTGGGAGGAACTGTTCTAGTAAAAATATTTCAGAACAATTTTTAATGCTTACCAACAATAGCATGGGCAGCTAGGTGGCCTAGAGAAGACTCATCTCCCTGAGTTCAAATCCAGCCTCAGATACTTACTAGCTGTGTGACCCTCGGCAAGTCATTTCACCCTGTTTGCCTCAGTTTCCTCATCTGTAAAATGAGCTGAAGAAGGAAGCGGCAAACCTGGGAAGCAGGAGGGATCAGGAAAGGTCTTGTGTAGAACACGGTTGATGCTTGAGCCACGCTTTACAGGAAAGAAGGGATTCTAGGAGGCAAAGCCGAGAAGGGAGTGAATGCCAGGCATGGCAGAAGCATTGCCACAGCATGGAACAATGCGTATGTGGGATGGCCATCAGGCCACTCTGTGTGGAGCATCAAGTGTGGCAAAGGGCAGAATGTCTGCCGAGCTGGGAAAAGGAGCGTGGGGGCCAAGCGATAGAGAGCTTGAAGTGCCCCAAAAGGGAGTTCCTATTTGGTCCTATGGGGCATAAGGGGACACTGAAGTTTACTGAGTGGGGGAGGTGGGCTGAAATGGCATCATCTGTGATTTAGGAAAATCACTTTGGAAGCTGTGTGGTGGATGGATTGGAGAGATAGGTGATGAGGACCTAAACTAGGGTGGTGACTGTGTCAGGAGCCAGAAGGAGAAGGTAGGAGACACGCTGAGGAAGTAAAAAGAACAAGATTTAGCACCTGGTTGGCTGCGTGGGGTGAGGGAAAATGGTGAGCTGAAGAAGACACACCAGAACCTGGGTAACTGGAAAGTTAGTGCTACCTTCAGCAGAAATAAAATTTGGAAGGGAGGTTGGGGGTGGGGCGTGAGACAGAACACAGTAAATTCTGTTTTGGACATGTCCAGTTTGAGATGTCAGTGGGACGTCCAGGTGCTATCCCATAGGAAGTTGTACATGTACAACCACAGCTCAACTGAGAGTCAGGTACGAGATACAAAAAGCTGATAGTCCTCTGCAGAGCGATGATAATTAATGTCCCAGGAGCTAATGAGGCAAGTAAATGAAAGTTACAGGGAGAAGAAAGAAGGATGCCCAGGATAGAGGCTTGGGGGTGCTATCCCTACAGTCAGGATCTATGATACCAGTGACGAAGGAGATCCAATAAGAAGTGATCAGAGACATAGGAGGAAAAAAGAGAGCCATTTCATTACAAAGCAGAGGGAAGAAGGAGACCATAGAACATGCAAAACAAAAGGGTAGACAACAGTGTCAAATACCACAGAAAGATCACAAAGAAAGAAGTTTGAGAAAAGCCCATCAAACTTCATCATTTAAAAGTCACTGCTAGCTTTGTATAAGATAACCTTTAGGGTCTTTTCTGGCTCTAAACAGCATGATGCCAGGTTGAGGCCTGCCTGGAAATTCAGGCCACAGTCATTTAGATTTGTTAAATGGCTGCAGCACTTGGTGATCTTGGATTGAATATGATTTCAAACAAAATAATTAAATGACTATGCTGTGAAGCTCCTTTCAGACTGCTTAGATCCTCCATGCTGTCCAAGTCACAACAGATATGGATCCCATCACTGAAGAATACAAGCTCATGGTCTATATGGCTTACCCCTACCCTACGGCTGGATGATGACAGGCAGAAGTAAGTAAGTATTTTAGTTTGAGAGGAAGGAAGGGGTCCTGAAATGATGGAATCTAGAGCAAGAATATGTGGAAATTATAATAACAAAGGATGCAATATAAGCAATAGAAGAGTTGACACAAGGACTTTGAAATATCTGCCATAGATAAATCCTAATGCGAAAATGCACTAGCAGAGAGAGGGTCCTATTCTTTCACGATGTTATATTCTTTGGTTCTATTTTTCCATCCTGGTGATAGAATTACAGTTATAAAATCAGGCAGTGTTGCCTCTTGCAAACAGGTACATATTAGCAGTTATTGTGTATTCTTGTAATAAAGCAATGATCTCCCCTCGTTCAGTCCTTTCTCTTCATAAATGAAGGCACATGGGCAGGCTGTGCATAAAAGATGAAAGCACCTGCCCAAGGCCACTCCTTCAGTTTTGCTGTTAGGAATCCTTAAGCAAGGGTATTGTTCTAGGGTGTCCTTCTCCAAAGCTAAACAAATTCAACTTGAATTTCCCATCATTCAGCATGACATTGGATTATGAGGCAAACGGCCCTGAATGCCTACAGAAAGAAAGGAAACGTTGGCTTTAAACTCCAAGCAGATGCAAGGCGGAACACATGGAAACAATCCAAAATTTACAACAGCAAATTCTACTACACTGTGACTGCTTTCTTTGCAGATATTAAATAAGAAGCAAATGATTTAAAATGAAAAAGACAAAAAAGAGCTCTTAGCTTCTCTTCACACGCAAACAGCTGCGAGCTGGAGAGCATTTCAACATCATCGGATTTTTGGTAATTAGTCATTTAAAAGAATCTCGTGATTCTGAACAGTTTCTAGAAACTACAAATACAAAAGGTACTCATCTGGGGAATTATTTTATAGACAAATATAAAACTGCACTTTCATTTGGGGGGAAGATAGATATACTTGAGGAAATATATAACAGAAACTTTTAAGCTCAGTGTGAGGGAAATTTAAGCTGCAAACTTCCTAGGTAAAGAAAAAAAACTGAAAATCTGTAATATATAGAAGAGAATAATTCCAGATTCAGTGAGTGTCATTGAGGGTTTCTAGGAAATGTAAAACAAAACAAAAAAAATTAGCACAGGAACTTGAGAGAAGAAAAGGAAGGTGTGAAACATATGTAAACTATGAGACATAAATGGAGTGATATGATCATAGCAGAAATACAGAAAGCAAAAAAAAAAAAATGGTGAAATTTATCATGAGATTAAAGGGCAGTAAGAGGGCTAAGCTCCTGGTCAGAACAGAGGACCCCCGTGCTAGCACTGTTTCAGGGTGGGATGCTATTTGGAAGCCCAGTACTGGTCATTCCAGGGCTGAGAGGACCAGTTTTTACCATCTGTGATCATGAGGGAGCAGAGGCCTTGCCTATGTAAGGACCAGAGAGCAGCCCAAGAGGATGGTGACCAGAACTCTCCCTGGATTACACAACCTTGGAAGCATCAAAAACCTACAGGCCATAATAGCCACAGAAGCTCAGGCTTCTTCTTGTCCTTTCCCAGAGGTGAGCAGAACCCAACTCTAAAAAAGTACAAAGTCAAGAAATAAGATGAGAAAATGAGCAAACAATCCCCTCAACCTCCCCAAAACCTGATGGAAAAAAGCTTCTAGGGGAGACAGGGAAGCTCGACACAAACTTAGAAGAAGATAATAGTTGAAAATGTTACA